CCATATCTCTGAGTTTTGAGTGGGCGCATGTCGCCAGTGTGCTGCGTTACTGTTTACATGTGTGAAAAGTGTGTTTGAAAACGAGTCTGATTGCAGGTATAGATTCTATAGAATAATAGAATCTGAGACTCCATCCATACTGAGAATGTCCGCCAATAACCATGACAATCAAGTGGAGGAATACAGAAAAGCATTCCCCCCCCCCCCTTTCTTCCCTTTTCTTTAGATGGTCGGATGGAGCATGGATCAGATATTAAACTGACCACAACAGATACTAGACTTGAACTTAGACAAAAGGAATACAGAACAACAATTTCTGGATACACACCGTTGTAAGGACAATGACCCTCCCAGCCTTGAAACTCTTCAATAGAGTCCACATGCTTCGCCGTGAGTGTGGATCCATTCCTGTGATCAGACCACACACCCATGCAGCAATCAGACAATTCCAAGTAGCGTTGAGGGACAGTAAAGACAATTAAGAAAAAAAAAAAGAAACGAGAGAGCAAGAATACATGAAAAGGGGAGATAAAGGGGCCAGCAGCAGTCATTCCGCAGACAGAGAGAGACCGACGGACAGACAGAGTCACAGACAGAGACATCAGGCCATTCTGAGGCGTAAGAGGGGGCTAATAATTAAAAACTTCATGTGAAGAAAAGAATAAACAAAAGGGGAAAAAGAGGGTGATTCCCAACGGTCATTACAACCCCTATGCCCTTTTTCCCTGTAGCCTTTCTTTTGTTTGTTCTTAGTCCACTTTCTATTTGGTTTCTGGTATTCTGCATATTCATTAGAACAGTCTGCAGCTGCTCAAACACTCTCTGCCTCTCCCTCTCTGTGACAGCCTTCCTAGCTCTCTCTGTCTCCCTTTTCCCATCCCTCTCTGTGTATCCCTCTGAAGTGGTCAGATCTACACACTGCCACTGTGGATAAGACAACATGCACCTCGGCTGGCTCTAACTTTGCTCACAAGAGGAACACACAGCAAGTTTGTCATCGATTTGCGAGGCCACAGCCTCGATGAGCCCCTTTCAGGCCCTGTCAAGCAGCACGTCGGCCGCCCTAAGTGAAGCCAGGCTCGACGAGGACCTGAGGGC